CTCTCTCTCTCTCTCTCTCTCTCCCTCTCTTTCTCTGTCTCTTTCTGTTTCTCTCTGTCTCTCTGTCTCTCTGTCTCTCTGTCTCTCTTTCTCTCTCTGTCTCTCTCTCTATCTCTCTCTTTCTCTCTCTTACACTATTTGTCCAAAACTCTATGCCTGTTTCATTGTATGTATGCCTGTCTCTCTTTTTATCCCGTGCCTTGCTTCCCCTCTGTCCATCTGTCTGTCTGGTTGTTGTTGTTGTTTTTTTGAGTTACTGAGATCATAAGGTAAGAAACGAATTCGTGTTCTATTTGCTCTATCAAAATCGTAAGATTATTCGGAGTCGTTATCAAGATATTCAAAGAAATGCATTCGAAAAAGCTTGACATGATGGGAAACTCAAAATCTTTGACGTCAGACGTCTTAAAACTAGGTAGGCCCTACTGAGCAGATGCAACTTGTAATTCTAGTGTAATTCTAGAGTAGCGACCTATCCACCCCCTCTCCCGGGCCTCACCGACAAGACACAGTCCCCTGCTTCCTCCAAGTAGTAGCTTCCCTTGGGACAGTCCACCTCTATGAGGGTGTGTCGGCCCGTGCAGTACACGAAGTGGTAGATGGAGAACGGGTACTTGTGGAATCCCTTGGAGCCCGACTTACACAAGTCCTCGCTGCCTACATTGTCGTCTTTACATGGGTTGGGGTAGCTCAGGTACGCTACGTCACCTGTTATAGCCAGAAAGATATACACAACAGATAGGGAATTGTTATTTATTTAATAGTATCTGGGTACCCTTTCGATGAACGAACTCAAAAGAATCGATCGTCAAGTCATTGTGAAAACAGTGCACACTGCTTGTGAACAGAAGCCAAACTTGTTTACAATGGCGTCTTAGGAGACGGACTTTCCCAGGATTAAATCTAAATGAAACTATTGAAATACTGAACATTTAACCACAGTGACTTCAGAAACCGTAACATATCTGTGCACCCTTAAGATGATTCGGAACCACTGTAAATTTTTTTCACATTTGAAAGTTAAGTGGTTTGGAAGTTTTAGGCGACCGAAGTGACGGACTTTCACTAATACATGTATAATATAGATTATTCTTTGCCATATTTAAGCAAACTTTACAAGAGGAAAATTAAAGTGTTTTGTTGATTGTTCGTGTTTGTAAACTCTCACAGTGCACCCCATGTGCCGGTGTCTGTGATGTAGTCACTTTGTCGTCCTGCACAAGAGGCCCGAGTTTGATCCCCTCGTGTGAAGAATATTCATTGGGTATCTTGGTTTTTTTTGTTGGGACGTGCATCCTTTTTATCCCGAGTTGGCCTGGCAGACAGGGTCAAAGCTTGCCTCCTAAAAGGTCTTAATAGTGTCGGTGGGGGTGTAAAGTTTAGTAAAGACACCTACTTCTAAATCACATCTGTGGTGTTATTGTCAGACCTTTAATCGTTCCATACCGTCGACATGAGAAGGGAAATGTTGTAGAGAGTCCTTGAGACCTTGACAGGCACAAGCCGATCAATCTGCCACATCAAATCAATAATATATGTCGTGGCGATTTCTCTTCTCCCCCTTCTCTCTCTCTCTCTCTCTCTCTCTCTCTTTCTCCCTCTCTCTCTCTCTTACTCTTTCTTTATTTGTCCCTTACTCTGTCTGTCTGTCTGTCTGTCTGTCTGTCTGTCTGTCTGTCTGTCTGTCTGTCTGTCTGTCTGTCTGTATCTTTCTTTCACTTTCTCTCTCTCCTCTCTCTCCTCTTTATCCCTTTCTCTCGTATTTGTCTCCCTCCCCGTTTGTATCCTCTCTCTCTCTCTCTCTCTCTCTCTCTCTCTCTCTCTCTCTCTCTCTCTCTCTCTCTCTCTCTCTAAAAATCCCAGTCGAACATAATATCAACAATAAACATGACAATGTCGAGAAGTTTTTACTCTTACCGTGGACGATGGCGTATTCCCTGTAGACGTATTTCTCCAGGAAGAGACGGCACGAGCACTCGATAAGTGTCCTGTTCACAACACACCAAGTGTCGGCACCTGCACAGACAAGTCTCTACCTTAGAATGACATTACAAAGCTCTATCCGATCAGTTCCTAACTTTGAGAAATCTGGCGTCAAAATATTTGAAGTTCACGTGTCAAGCTTTCTCGAATGCAATTCTTTGGATGTCCTAATAGGGACTCCGAATTGAATAATCTTACGATTTTGACAGAGCCTAGAGCAGAAAGAACATTGGTTTCTGACCTCATGGTCGTGATAACTCAAAACGGCCAAAGATTCCTGATGGAACTTTGTAATTCTAAGGTAGCGAAGTGGAATGTGATTGTTGTTACGTAATTTTCATCTCTGATGACCAGTATACTATTGTGTGGTGTAACGGTCAGTCTTTTGAACGTTACATTCAAGATGTATGAGTTGGTTTCCAGCGTGTGAAAGTTATTTCCTCATGTATCTCTGTCTGTGTGCCGATATGCTGTACCCCACTCAGCCATGGGTAGGTCTGATAGACAGGGTCGAAGTACCCCCTTCCACCCCCTCCCACTCTTCTCCTTGACATTAAGGGTACAAAACATTCACTCCCAACTCTGGAAAACTATTTGAGAAGTGGAACCTTCGAGAAGTGAGACCTCCGAAGGTAGCGTCCATTTCTCTAAAGACTGAGTTATTTGGGTAGGTGGGGGACCTTTAAAACTCCCGATACAACTCATTAAAAAAAATTGGAGTTGGATTCGAATGCGAGTCATCCACACTATAGTCCACCATAATACCAGCCGGGCTAAGGACGTGTGCAAACAAGGATTTGATTCTCTTTACACTTTAAATCCCTTGGTCGGGATGCCATTATGTCTCAAATAGATTGTTTCCCTTTCATCAAGATAACCGTTCGGAAGCCATCAGACGGTGGATGTTTTTAGGAGAAAAAATAAGAGTTGGGAAACTTTTAATACACTTAAGTACAGACTGACACCTTTTGGGTTTGGCGCTATTAATCATACGGGAGAGGGGCAGGGAAGAGAAAGTGGGTAGTTGTAAGGAGAGAGGAGAGGGTGGGGAGGGGAAGAGAGGAGGGGAAGGAAAGGGAAGTGTGTGAGGTGTTGGGAGCGAAGAGAGGATGGAGAGAGGAAGGGAAGAAAGTAGCGGAAAGAATGGGGAGTACTTAGAGTGTAGGGAGAGAGGAGACATGCGGAGGGGAGGGGAAGAAAAGAGGGGAACAAAAGGAGGGGAAGGGAAGAGAAGGGGACAAAGGAATTGCAGGAGATGGGGACTGAGAGACAGGGGTATAGGGGTGGAGGCGGGTTGTTTAGTTTAGAGGAGGGGTAGAGGAGGAGGCATAACCCGGTTTTGTTAGGTGGGGGGGGATTTGTGGGAAGGAAGAGAGATTGGGGCTATGGAGCTGGATTGTTAAAGTTTATGCCTCTTGATATGAAAAAAAATATTGACCTTTCCCCATTTCTTTTCCTGTATCTCATCTTCTATCCAACTCTTACCTCGCTTGGGTAGATGGTTTCCCACCAACGTCTGCACGTCCACAGTTCCCCTGCACTGGTCAGCCGAGGCTGACATGGCGCCCAGGGTTAGGTAGAGAGGTGCAGTGGTGGCCTTGAGGTACAGGACAAGGGGTCGTATGGCGGTGGCGACCCCGTCAAAGAAATTCTTGGCTTCATTCGGTTGGGTGATATCAAACGAACCGAAGACCCGAATCTGACCATCAGATGGCTGGATCTGGATGAGGATGTCAGAGGTTAATTATTGTGCCAAAAGTTAAGATATAAGGTTAATTATGCCAAAAGTTAAGACAAGAGGTTAATTATGCCAAAAGTTAAGATATGAGACTAATTGTGCAAAACGTTAGACGTGGGGTTAATTACGCAAAAAGTAAGGTAAGAAGTCAATTATGCCAAAAGTTAAGGCATTGTGAGATTATTATGCCAAAGGCTAAGATATGAGGTTAATTATGCCAAAAGCTAAGGCTTGAGGTTAATGAATGCTTACTCTGACAGTGGTTTCATCTCCGGGAAGGATCTTGACGGTCTGCGGAGAGCCGCACTTGAAGGTGGCGTTGCTGGGTGTGGGTATGATGGTGGCAGCTAGGGCGGGCAACACAGCGATAACAACAAGTAGCAGGTTTTTGTCAGCCTACTTACTTGGTTTCTATCTATCTATCTATCTATCTATCTATCTATCTATCTATCTATCTATCTATCTATCTATTGTG